CGGGGAGCGCAGCCGGGCCCCGGGGCCGCCGGAGCTTAACGTGCGTGTTCCCTAGGTGCCTAGGCAGCTCCCGACTGCAGCCGGAGGGCTCTGTGGCAGCAGGGGTTTGTATTCGCTTGCCGTGCCCTGGAGGTGCTCCGGGCTTCCCGGTGGGAAAAGGCGGCGGGGCTGCAGGCAGTGATGGCTCGAACTGGTCTGCTTCTTTGTAGGGATTTAAAGCAAACCTCTCTCTCCTGAGGCGACCCGGGGAGAAGACCTATACTCAGCGTTGCCGCTTGTTTGTTGGGAATTTGCCTGCTGATATAACAGACGAAGACTTTAAAAGACTGTTCGCCAAATATGGGGAGCCAGGAGAGGTTTTTATCAACAAGGGGAAAGGCTTTGGATTCATTAAATTGGTAGGCTTTCGTACTGTACGTCCATCCGTTTAATTCTCACGAAATAGTAATTTACAACTTGGTTTTCTAAAACTGGGTCTTGAACTTTCCTCAGGAATCTAGAGCTCTTGCAGAAATTGCGAAGGCAGAACTGGATGATACCCCCATGAGGGGTCGCCAGCTTCGTGTTCGGTTTGCCACACATGCTGCTGCTCTTTCAGTGCGTAATCTTTCGCCCTATGTGTCCAACGAGTTGCTGGAGGAAGCTTTTTCCCAGTTTGGTCCAGTGGAAAGAGCTGTTGTGATTGTAGATGATCGAGGTAGATCAACAGGAAAAGGCATTGTTGAATTTGCATCAAAGCCAGCTGCAAGAAAAGCATTTGAACGGTGTACTGAAGGAGTGTTTTTGTTGACAACGTAAGTATTTTGCTGCTTAGGATTTTTAGCTTTAACCTGAACAAAATTGTTGCCTTCTACTTTTTCGGAGTGGAGAGTCTTATGGAAAAGTAAAATGAGTATTTTTTTGTTCAGCACTCCTAGGCCAGTTATTGTGGAACCATTGGAACAACTGGATGATGAAGATGGTCTTCCAGAAAAGCTTGCTCAGAAGAATCCGATGTATCAAAAGTAGGCACTATCTTTTGGTCTAAAGCGTATGTAGATGATGTAAGTAGTATTGTCCTAGACTCTGAAGGAGATGGAGTAATCTTTCAGAAACAGGCTTTGAATGTTGAGTAGTACTTTCAGTTCTTGGGGTTTTTTTGGTAGTAGTTTGTTTTTAGGTAATGTAAAATACTTACTTGTTTAGTATATTCATTAAGCATTACACAAGTAATTTTATATATTGTATCACAAAGAAACAGTAAGGCTAAAGAGCAGCCCAATAACAAATGTTTTTGGTATACGTAGAAACTCTTGAAAATCAGACTTCAACTGTTTGCTCATCCTGTTGTTAACTGTCATCTCACTTAAGGTGTTTCTCATGTTGATGATCCTGTAGGGAATTTACAAACTGGTGTTTATGGTATGAAATGATCAGTCAAGTAAAATTTTAACTCATTCCATGGTTAATAAAAACTAGTTGCCTGTGGATTTGCCTTGCCAAGCTGACCACTGGGCATATAAGAGTAGATAAGAGTCTATAGGAGTCTTTTCCTAAGTAGCAGTTTTATGTTAGGATCTGTATGTTAAACCTGTCTGTTCCACAAATGTTGTATTTTCCCAGATCACAAAAGGGAGTGCAGGGGCGAGGTCAAGTCAGTCTAGTTCGTATGAAAAAGTGTTCAAAATTACTCACTTTGATCAAAGACTATAAACAGTTTAGAGGCAGTGTCTTTGAAAACAGTGTAGATCAGTATAGTGTTCCCAAAATGTTGAAATAATTTACATTGCTAACATATGGAAAGCTTTTGAACTTTCCTGGTTTTGTTCCATTAGTTACTGAATCTTCGACTCGGATTTCTTTATGTGACAAAATAAACTGTTGGCCCTCGGGCATTTTGAAAACTATTTAAGTTAAAATGAAGATTATTACTTGCCTTTGACACACAGTGCTTTGCGTGTTAAGTCGGCACTGAAAAAAATCCATCTCTCCATATGCTGTTGTTTTGAGCAGCTGTACCTACTCGGGCAAAGGCCTGTCTTGTTTGAGGATTTTGCACCTGGCAGTTGCCAGCAGTGGAGTGTCTAAGGAAGAAGTTAAGAACAAGATAAACATGCAGTAGAACTGTAAGTGGGAAGATTTGCTTGGATGTGATAGTGCAGGAGTCTCCATATTTGCTACGGTAGTTGTAGAATTCATTTGTATTAAATGCTGCTGTTCAAGCGTGTAAAATGCTGTACTGCTATCAGCATTCTGTCACAGCAAGTTTCCTGTCACATAGTTGTGAGGTGGTATTTTCAGGGCTCCTTTGATGTTCCCTGATAATTCTGGTATTCTGCTTGTCATCTTTTATTGACCTTCAGTTTCCAGGTTTGCCCAGTCTGAATGAGCATCTTCCTTTCCACAGGGAAAG